TTTTTTGTTTTTTTGAGACAGAGTCTCACTCTGTTGCCCAGGCTAGAGTGAGTGCCGTGGCGTCAGCCTCGCTCACAGCAACCTCAAACTCCTGGGCTCAGGCGATCCTCCTGCCTCAGCCTCCCGAGTAGCTGGGACTACAGGCATGCGCCACCACGCCTGGCTTCATTTTTCTATATACTTTTAGTTGGCCAATTTATTTCTTTCTATTTTTAGTAGGGACGGGAGGTCTCGCTCTTGCTTAGGTTGGTTTCGAACTCCTGACCTCGAGCGATCCTCCCAACACTACCTCCCAGAGAGCCGGGATGACAGGTGTGAGCCAGCGCCTCTCCCTAGAAGTACAATTTTGATCATCTCAATTCATCCTCATTAACACCATGGGGACACAACAGATATTGATATTTTTGTTCCCATTTTACAGACAAGGAGATTGAGACCTGCCCAGCCGAGGTCACTTGCAGAGCTAGGGCAGTGACTCAAGCCTTCTGACCCCGTATCTAGTCTATTAACCTCCCCTCAAAATACACCCGATTCCCAATCACTGTAGTAGTCATGTTTACAAAGTCACTGCGGACACTGAATTGGCGAATATCGAAACAGAGCTCCTAGAGGAAACAGAGAGCTAGGTTGATGAGAGAGCCTCTGCTCACGACGTTTTCATCGGCGACGGCACACAGCCTCGTTTTACGTTCGCTCACGGAGACCCTATGTGATGTTCATTGCTGGCCGGTGAACACTGAACTCGGGGCCGGCAGCTTCGTAACTCATCCCGGATGCAGCTTAACACACCCCTGTGCTCCGTGTCAAACACTCCGCAGCCCTTCCTTCCCCTGGGGACAGGAGACGGCAGTTCAGCTGCACAACTGGGGCCATTTGAAACAGTGAAATCACCCACAAAAAGCACGAAGATACAAAAAAATATATATATATATATGCAGCGCTACGTAGGCCATGCTGAGGACACTTGCTTGCAGCCTGAGAAGCCAAAACAGAAAGACAGAGCTTCGCCGGCTCGGCCTCAGCTGGGAGCCTGAGCAAGTCTGGAGACTCAGATTCCCGGATGCTCTGCGTAAGGAATGCCGACTTAAGGTCACCAGTACACTTTAAGATGTAAGGAAATTTGCAAATATCGAACCCATAAGAAATGAGGACGGACTCTACTAACTCAAGAGGCAACAAACTTGGAGAACTAATTTTGCATTATGCAGTTCTGATCCGATCAGTCTACTGTTGTCATTTGTTCTTTTTTGTTTTTTGAGACAGAGTCTCACTCTGTCGCCCGGGCTAGAGTGAGTCCCGTGGCGTCAGCCTAGCTCACAGCAACCTCCAACTCCTGGGCTCAAGCAATCCTCCTGCCTCAGCCTCCCGAGTAGCTGGGGCTACCACAGACATGCGCCACCATGCCCGGCTAATTTTCTCTATATGTTTTTAGCTGACCAATTAATTTCTTTATATTTTTTTTAGTAGAGACAGAGAGGGTCTCGCTCTTGCTCAGGCTGGTTTCGAATTCCTGACCTCGAGCGATCCTCCCGCCTCGGCCTCCCAGAGTGCTGGGATGACAGGCGTGAGCCGCCGTGCCCGGCCTTGATTTTTTTTTTTTTTTTTAACAGAAAATATTTCACTGCAGCTTCCCTGCGTGCATCCAGGCAACCACCCCAAGGGCCCTCGGTCCAGAGTGATGGGATCGGGGTGTGGGGGAGGGGGGCGGGCTCAGGGGAGGGGCCCGAGAGAGGAGGGGACCCGGGATACCTGTGGCAGTGGCTGCTTCAGGTGTGTTTAACATGTGGCCCACTGTGAGCCTGGTCCTCTGTCTTCCGGATCATCAGCCTTGTGGCCCCGACATCAACGAACAAGACACAGTGGCCTTAGACGGAGTCTCGTACAGCACAGAGATGCACATGGAGCTCTGGTTTTCCCCAACACTTGCCTCGGCTGGGTCCATCACAGCCGAGCGCAGAGACTCGAGGCCGAGCGTGCACAGAGCGGAGGGCTGACCTCTGGACCCCTTCGGGGCCATCCAGTCCCCACTAAGGGTCCACAAGCAAGGGGAGACACCATTGCGTAGACGTCTTAAAAAACAACGTTTAGGCCGGGCACCAGTGGCTCACGCCTGTCATCCTCGCACTCTGGGAGGCCGAGGCGGGAGGATCGCTCGAGGTCAGAAGTTGGAGACCAGCCTGAGCGAGAGCGAGACTCTCGTCTCTACTAAAAAAAAAAAAAAAAAAAAATAGAAAGAAATGAATTGGCCAACTAAAAACACATAGAAAAAAAAAAAATTAGCCGGGCATGGTGGCACATGCCTGTGGTCCCAGCTACTCAGGAGGCTGAGGCAGGAGGCTCGCTTGAGCCCGGGAGTTGGAGGTTGCTGTGAGCGAGGCCGACGCCACGGCACTCACTCTAGCCCGGGCGACAGAGCGAGACTCTGTCTCAAAAATAAATCAATCAATAAAAAATAAAGACAATGTTTAAATTGTGAAATTATCACACCCACTGTCTACCCGCAGAGCAGACGGTCCTGATTTTTATAGGGAGGACAGAAGGATCGAGGTCATCACAAGGAGCCCGACCCCAGGGCTGAAGCATGGTCACTGCTAACATATTATCCTCGTTAACGCGTCGGCTCGTCCCTCTCCTCTCTCTTTTCTGCGTGCACGGCCGTTCTTTGCACGGCTGCGTCTTAGCACGCCGAGCGTCCGGCTTTGCCCGCTGCCCTGCAAGCGGTTCTGTGCTTCGGTTTAAGCACTTTTTTTTTTTTTTTCCCCTTAAAAGCGTCCTGATGACTGAAATGTAGCTAAGGGCTCGAAAGAAGCCCGTCCCAGTCTTAGTGAGTGATTCCTGGCAGATTTCACGGAAACCTGCAAGGCGACGTCTTGTGCCTGCTGCCCCAGCCCTGAGTAAGAGTCTCGGGACGCAGAACTCAAGTGAAGTCCCAAAGGTCAGCCGGAGGGTGGAAAAAAAAAACCCTGGAACCGGGGTGTGGACCTGTCTCCCGTGTCCGCTGGCTTCTCGAGTCTTCGTTGGCTTGGCAGCCGCTGACGCCGGCGTCAGAAATTGTGTTCTCACTCGCGGTGGCACTCAGAGAAGTAGGCTGCACTTCCGAAGGGCCGAGGGGCACGAGGGGCCCATGGCAGGTGCTAGCACACTCTGGTTCAGCGGCAGGCCTCCTTCCAACACTGGTACGTGTGGGACCTCTTGGGTGAGCTCGGATTTTTTCAGCAAATGCATCTCCGGGTTGAAGAGCAGGCCCGGACACAGCTCTGTGAGGGTGGTTATTTAAGAAAACACTTTTCTTGGCAGAGAAGAATTTTTTCCCTAGCCTACTTCTAACTCCCTGCCATTCCAACCCTTCAGAAGGACGTTGATGTGGTTTTCTGGTTTGTCATGTTACAATGCAAGGATGTCTGCTAAAAAAAAAAGCCCAAAGCGATTAGCAGCGCATAAAGATGATGATTTCTGCTTGCTATTCTAGCAAAAAAAAAAAAATGGTGAGAAAAGGAAGTGAGCTCAGTGGTGATGCTTTAAAATTGGGGCTTAAGTTAAATATTTATTGTTTTCTTTAAAGCTGCCAATGCATGGTTAAGAAAACATAGCTAAGAAAGGTAGTGGTCGGGGTGGGAGGGGGTGTAAAAAATAAAAATAAAAGAAAGATAGTGGCGACAATTTTCATCACGACCTTTAAAAGCAATTCATTGGTACTCCTAAAAGGGCTCTGTAATGTAAATCTTAAGCTGTAGGCCAGGCACAGTGGCTCATGCCTGTAATCCCAGCACTTTGGGAGCCCAACGTGGGAGGATCACTTGAGGCCAGGGGTTCGAGACCCGCCTTGGCAACAGAGGTAGTGAGACTCCCGTGTCTTAAGAAAAATTTTAAAAATATGTGTAGGCATTATTCATGCAACAGCACAAAAAAAAAAAGGTCATGCTCTCTGTCGGATTGACATCTATTCATTTTTATCTTAATTATTTGATGAGTCCGTAAGACTAAGCCTCCAAAAAAAGAAAAAAAAAAATAGTGCCGTAGTTAATGAAATATATAGCCACGGGGATCAGAATCAATGGAGCATCCTAAGAAGTGAAAATAAATGGGAGACTCAGAGGAAGAGCCATGTGGCCAAGTGCATTCCTGCTGAGAAGTCTAAATCGTATGGAACTCCTGCTTACCGCAGACCTGGGAATGAATCTGTCTCTTAAAAAGGAGTATTAGAGTATTGATTAAAAGCTATTACAACATGAGTTTTCGGTACTTTGATTTCAAAAAGCATCATCGAGGCCGGGCGCTGTGGCTCACGCCTGTAATCCTAGCTCTTGGGAGGCCGAGGCGGGCGGATTGCTCAAGGTCAGGAGTTCGAAACCAGCCTGAGCAAGAGCGAGACCCCATCTCTACTATGAATAGAAAGAAATTAATTGGCCAACTAATATATATAGAAAAAAAATTAGCCGGGCATGGTGGCGCATGCCTGTAGTCCCAGCTACTCGGGAGGCTGAGGCAGAAGGATCGCTTGAGCCCAGGAGTTGGAGGTTGCTGTGAGCTAGGCTGACGCCACGGCACTCACTCTAGCCTGGGCAACAAAGCGAGACTCTGTCTCAAAAAAAAAAAAAAAAAAAAAAAAGCATCATCGGCCGCTAATGCAGCCACCTGCATTAGCAGGTAAGACAAGGCCCGTCTCTTCCGAGAGTCGCCCCCGCCCAATTACCGTTGACCCAAATTCATCCTGGAGCCAGTTCGACTTCAAAGTTCCCAGCGAATTGTGCTGAGCCCAAACATTCTCCCTAAAGCATAGCATCTGTTCTGTATTTACAAACTGAAATAACTACGGATGTCAAATGAGAGAAGATTCTATTTCCTTTAGGAACATAAAATCTCTCTCTCTTTTTGTTTTTTTTTTTTTTTTTTTTTTTTTTTAGAAGTTTACATCAAAAATCTTTTTAGACACCAAAGTTTTTTTTATTTTCATGTCGCGGAATAGCTCACGTGCAACCGTTGCGGTTTCTCCCTCCCAGTGCCCTGCCAGACGGTTCTCGATTACTTGAAGACGGTCCTGCAGCACCACAACCAGCTCCTCGCCCCGCAGCCAGCCGACCAGCCGACCGAGGTAGGTCTCTCGGGAGAAGGGGCGTGTTGTTCCCCTCGGGATGTCCTTAAGACGGAGCCTCTGGATACCTACGCACTTGTTCCCCCATGTCTGCCAGAACAGACTGGCCAGCAAAATGTGCTTGTGCGTGCGTGTCTGAGGTTTATGGGTCTGTGAGCTGTGAGTGCCCAATCTTTCTGCAGAACGATCGTGCATGCATGCAACCCATGCAACCCATGCAAGCATGCAACCCACAGACTGTCAGCTCTGCATCCCGACTGGCCAAAGAAAGAGAAAATGGCAAGTTAGAGAGCATGGGCACCGGGTGCGGTGGCTCACGCCTGTACTCCCGGCACTCTGGGAGGCCCAGGCGGGAGGATCGCTCGAGGTCAGGAGTTCGAGAACAGCCTGAGCAAGAGCAAGAACCCTGTCTCTACTATAAAATAGAAAGAAATGAATTGGCCAACTAAAATATATAGAGAAAAAAAAACTAGCCGGGCGTGGTGGCGCATGCCTGTTAGTCCCAGCTACTCGGGGAGGCTGAGGCAGGAGGATCGCTGGAGCCCAGGAGTCGGAGGTTGCTGTGAGCTAGGCTGACGCCACGGCACTCACTCTAGCCTGGGCGACAGAGCGAGACTCTGTCTCAAAAAAAAAAAAAAAAGAGCATGGGCAATTCTTCCACCGTTCTTTTGGCACAGAGAGGCCCGAATGGGAGACGGGGACCTGTCACTCCCCCGGGCAGAGCCGGTCCCTGTCGCCCCTTGCTCCTCACCTTGCCAGCCCAGCAGGGCTCTGCTGCGGCCAGCTGGTTCCAGGCTTCTTTGGGGGCTGGAGCTGGGCCTCGCCTCCCTCCTTGGAGAAGTTTGCCCCCCCCATGGGCAGACGGAGGGGTGCGTTTGGTGGTGAGGGTGTGCCGGGGTGCACCGTGCATTTTCACGGGGTGTTTGGGGCTCAGTTCCAAGTGCCGTCTTCACCCCAGGAGCCACGGCCGCTGCAGGGAGTGTGGGACACTCTCACTTCTCCGCCCTGGACACAGGCCTGCCTTTGAGTCCCCCCTCCTCCCTCCGTCCCTGTCCCCTTCCCGCCAGCACCCCCTCCCATGCCAGCCCACGGCTGGGCCAGGCCCGTCCCCAGCCTGTTCCAGGGGCGCTCGGCTCGCTCTGCCTATGGGACTTTGCCTTTTTTTTTTTTTTATAGTGACTATTTTCATTTTCTTTTCTTTTTTTTTTTTTTTGAGACAGAGTCTCCTTTGTCGCCCAGGCTAGAGTGAGTGCCGTGGCGTCAGCCTCGCTCACAGCAACCTCCAACTCCTGGGCTCAAGCCATCCTCCTGCCTCAGCCTCCCGAGTGGCTGGGACTACAGGCATGCGCCACCATGCCCGGCTAATTTTTTCTATATATATTAGTTGGCCAATTAATTTTCTTTCTATTTATAGTAGAGACGGGGTCTCGCTCTTGCTCAGGCTGGTCTCGAACTGCTGACCTGGAGCAATCCGCCCTGTCGGCCTCCCAGTATTTTCATATTTATTTTTGAGAATACCTTTAGCACCATTGTAATATATCATTTTAATTACTATTTCAGGTTAATTTTTTTAGATTGTTTTAGAGTTTGTTAAAATGCAGTCCCATGCCGCGTAATGACATCTTGGTCGATGACAGACCGCATATGTGACGGTGGTCCCATGAGGTCACAATTGCGCAGAGAATTTCCTGTTGCCCGGTGACATGGCAGCCATGGCTGTGCAGTGAGTCATTCGCATATTTGCGATGATGCTGGCGTAAACAGACCTACTGTGCTGACAGTTGTTTAAAAGTACAGCGCACGCTAGCCGGGCGTGGTGGCGCGTGCCTGTAGTCCCAGCTACTCGGGAGGCTGAGGCAGGAGGATCGCCTGAGCCCAGGAGTTTGAGGTTGCTGTGAGCTAGGCTGACGCCACGGCACTCACTCTAGTCTGGGCAACAAAGTGAGACTCTGTCTCAAAAAAAAAAAAACAAACAAAATAACAACAATAAAAGCATAGCACATGAAACCGTGGGCAGCATATAATACCCGATAAGGGGATCTTGCTCTTTTGACGATGGCCACACCCCGAGGGCCGGTGGGGTGCATCACTGTCCCCTCTTTCCTGGTCCCCGAACCCGGCTGCAGCTCTGCCGTCCCAGGGACATCGGCCAGAGGCCCCCGGGGACGTTCCCGGCTTCTCCGGCCCGCCGCCCCAGGCTGTCCCTGTCCCCGGCTCTCTTGTCCTGGGCCTCGGCGCCCTCCCCGGCCTCCCCCTGCGCTCCCACCGGCCCCCCGGCGTTTCCTGCTGCACCTTCTCCTCTCACTCTGCACTGTCCTCCTCTGGCCGGTCACCTGCCTCCGTCCCCGAACGTCCCCCCGCGTGCAGGGGGCGATGAATCCCGCATGTATGTGCGCTGCCCACGCCCGCCGTCCTCACCCCTGCTTCCTCTCTGGGAAAGGCCCCGCCAAGCCCCGGGTGGAAGCTCCTGGCGCCTCCCCGACTCTTCCCCCTCCCTCCTCTCCCGCACCCGGCACTCCCACGGCCGGCCGCCCCGCGCTGTCCCCACTCTGGTGAGCAGTGGGTTCTTTCCCCTCCTCGCTCCCCCCCGGAAAGTTCCCTTCCTCAGTTGCAGACCCGGATGGAACGCCATAGACAGGTGCAAGACCCTTTTGCTCCCGAGAGTGAAGTCCGCGTCTCCTAACCTGGCATTCCTCTCCTGCGGAGAGCACTAAATACAGGGCCGAAAAGCCCCCTTCCTCCAGGAAGCACTCCTCGACTGCCACCCTCTCTGCTCTGTGCTCTCCGGCGGCAGGTGGCCCGGCCCGTCTCCTCCGGAACAGGCCTTGCTTACTGGCGAACGCGCACCTGTGTCTTCCGGGCGCTCGTGAGCCTGCGAACACGCGAACTGTGCGTTGTTCATCTTGGTTTTTTTAAAGAGTGACTCGACACAAGTTGAGAGTTTAATGGCCTGTCCGTGGCTACGTGAAGAGACCACGTGCAAATCATGATGTTACAGAAATATATAAATAAGGGAAATATCTCCATTCCCTCCGGACAGGAGACTGTCTGAGCCTTTATTGCACACCATCTTCACCATCGTGATTCCTGTGCTGCTTTTATTGTCACTGCAGGCACGTGAGCGTTTTATCATTTGTCATATTTTATTTCTATCAAGGAGGATGCTAAACCAGGATCATAAAGCCCGTCCGCAGCCCAGAGAGCATTCTGAGTTGCATTTTGGGGATGCAAATTCCTTTTTCTCCCTTTTTTTTTTTTTTTGTTCCTTTTGCTTGATGACGGTCTCCCCGCGTTTTACGAGACCCACATTTCATGCCGAGCCGCTGCCCTCAGTGGACTTTTTCAAGGGCTTTGAGGAAACTTCCTTCTTGAACCGCCAGCCCCCTGCCCGCGAGTGCCCCCGCCCCGTCCCTCCCCGACCTGCGCCGAGGTCAGGGCCCAAGCACGCTGTCCCGTGTGTGCGGGGTGAGCTCTGAGCCCAGGGACAGGGCTCCCCAGCTCTTCCCCCGTGAGCTGCCGGCCGGTGGGGAGTGACTTAAGCTCTTTGGTGAGACAGGGCCGCAATCCTGGTCCACCCGGTGAGCTCACACCCTATAGCCTTTAACAAACAGCTTCAAAACCAGCTAGACAGGGCTGGGCTCGGGGTGGCTCATGCCTGTCATCCTCGCACTCTGGGAGGCCGAGGCGGGAGGATCGCTCGAGGTCAGGAGTTCGAAACGAGCATGAGCAAGAGTGAGACCCCCGTCCCTACTAAAAATAGAAAGAAATAAATTGGCCAACTAAAAAATATATATAGCAAAAATGAGCCGGGCGTGGTGGCGCATGCCTGTAGTCCCAGCTACTGGGGAGGCTGAGGCAGGAGGATCGCTTGAGCCCAGGAGTTGGAGGTTGCTGTGAGCTATGCTGACGCCACGGCACTCACTCTAGCCTGGGCGACAGAGTGAGACTCTGTCTCAAAAAAAAAAAAAAAAAAAAAGAGCCGGGGTCACTGCTCTGGGAACAGTGGGGGGCTCAGCGGCCACTGTCAGCCACGCTGATGCCTGGCGAAGCCCTGGCTGCCCACGCAGAGCCCGGGTCTCCCTGGGGCCACAGCTGTGTCCGGTCCTGGGGCAGGGGGCAGAACACACAGGCAAGAAATGGCGATCGGCCGTGCCAGAGGCAGCCGGAACTATTCCCTTTCTCCAGGCCTGCTCATTGCTTTTTTTGGTACAGTCAAATATTTAGAGATCTCATTTAAAAAGAAATACATGCCAACGCCACCATGCATAGAAACGACAGAAGAAATAAGCATAGCGTATCGTGCAACATTTCGTTAGGAATCTGGATAGCTTTTCTGGAGTGCACCAAGTCTCTCACGCCCCCCGGAGACCCCGTTAGTTCGTTGCCCCCCGATGTCTGAGTCAGCAGCCGGGGGAGCGATGCCATGCTCAGGGCACGGGCCATGCTCCTGAGAGACAGGTGACCGGGGTCTTGAGGTCCACTCCCCGACTTCCACCGGCCACAGGGCGTTCCGCGTCTCACGGCGAATCGAACGCACCTGTCCCTCCGACACCATCGAACGTCCCCGGGGGAGATTTCTTTCTCCCGCGTGATTTTTTTTTTTTTTGCTTTCGCCCGTGAGAGGGAAGTCCGTGCGGAGAAAGCTGGGTGGCACCATGGCATGGTCGTGGCATCGCGCCGGGTCTCCCGTACACGCGGCGTTTCCGGGAGGGCTTCCGTCAAAGCTAGAGCGTTTCGAGCGGCCGTGTCCTGCAAAATCCAGCTGCTGTTCTGTCTCTCTCCCCCCGCCGTTGTCTGTGTGTCCCCGCAGAGTTCATCAGGATGCACTGCACCTCCAACCCCGACTGGTGGATGCCCTCGGAGGAGCAGATAAACAAGGTGTTCAGCGACGCCGTGGGCCACGCCCGGCAGGGCCGCGCCGTGGGCACCTTCCTGCACAACGGAGGCGCGTTCTACGAAGGGGCCGACCACCCGTCCCCGCAGGAGGAGGCCTTCGGTAA